AATTACAGAAACCACTGTACAAGGAAATCATTTGAAATAGTGATTCAAGGTAAGCAAACCAGGATTATCATACCCTTAATAAACAATTATTCCACTCGCGCTTGTTGGATATGCGATGGTAGTGGAATAGTTGTTGAATCAAAAACTCTCTTGAACATATGTACATAAATCCTGCCAACTTTATTTTGTAAGAACAAACGGACTATTACAACGTACAAAAATGCTTCCGGTGTAACTCGTCTCCGCGCGCGCACACGGTATATTGACCCATAACCTATAATGGCTAAGTCATGAAAACTTTTGAAGTGCATTATCCAAAGATCCAGTTTTTGATAATGCGAAGATGTATGCCGAAGATGTTTCATTCAGGAATAAGGATTCTCAAATAATCAGCTCCTAAGAAACTCCTGGAATGTATGGACAGGAAAGTTCAATACATAATTCATTGCAAAAAGAAAATTCCGCTGTGTGGCCATTGGCACATTAACAAGACTCGAAATGCAGTGTTCAAAGAACGAAATTCTTCACTCAGATAACGATTAAATTTGAATCAGGAGCAATTCCATTGACCTGTCCTGATAGATATCTTATTACTTGATACAGTAGAACCTGTATTAAGCGGCCACTCACTAGGAATGGTGGTGTGACCGCTTAATGTAATCAGTTTCCACAGATAGGGGTATTATAGCAAAAAACAAACAAACAAACAAACAAACAAACCAACCAACAAACAAAATAACAAAACAAAACAAAAAAAATCCTAAAATCAAAACATACACAGCGCCACTAACGCCGCTGTTATAATTGACCACTTTATGTACAGAATCTCGTTCAAAAACGCTATTTACTTCGATTTTGGGAGAGAAACATGGATAAAAAATTATTTGAAGGGTTATCTTTAATTTTAATCGGGTAGTTCGGCTATAAGTGGCCGTTCAAAACAGGTGGAAGGTGGACTGCGACCGCTACGTAGAGGCAACCGCTTAATACAGGTAAAAATTACAATGATTAAGAGGAGACAAATTGGGACTTTGGCAACTGACAAACACTAATGCAACCGACTGCTTAATACAAAGGTGGTCGCTGAATACGGTGCCGGCGATGCTGAAGCAAAAAAAAAACCTACATATTCTTCGAAAGATGAGAAAAGAATTATTTTGTGAAACAAAAAAAAAAGTAATGATAATTATTAGAATGAAAATAGGAGGCTCACACTCCGGCAAGGGCGGGTTGGCCTGAAATAGTTCTTTCTTAGTACCTGCATATACAACTCATCTTCTTCTGTGGCATAATGATAATGAAAATATCTTCTTCTTCTGCGGACATTTGTTTATTGAATAAGCTTCCAACTAGATTATATCAGTAATAAGAGAGGATATTTATTGCAATGCACTTTTTCCCTACAGGTCCTGCGCCAGATTTAGTTGGAGTTCCTCGGAACCAAAGCACTGATATAGGAGCCAATGTTATTTTCAAATGCACCGCCACAGGTCTTCCTAAGCCAAACATCTCATGGATCAAAAACAATGATTCATTTGCCTTACAATCCAACCCAAGGGTGACATTCATTGACAATCCACATTCGCTAAAAAACCACAAAACCATGCAAAGCCAGCTGTTTATTACAGGAGTGAAGAAAGAAGATTTTGGCAAATATCAATGTGAGGCCAAAAACAGTGGTGGTAAAAATTTATCGTTGCCAGCTTTCTTAACCCCGAAAGTTTCAGGTTAGACATGAATATGCATTAGTGTTTGTTTTCCTTATTATCTCAAAGTTGAAAACCCACGAAGTCTTCCACTTGCGTGCCAACTCAGTCTCCCAATTGAAATTTCCACAACACCAAATAAGCGAGATAGGCTCGGTTTTTGGATGATTGCTTCTTGATGTACATTTCCGTAGATTGTAAAAAACTTTCTATGTCACCAGAGTGTCAAGAGATAATTTTAAAGTTGTCATTTCAGTTTCACCCGGCCCCTGTACCTCCCCAGTCTTCTTATCATCAAGACTCCCCTTTAAGTTAAATTCTCTTCAAACCGGGTCTTTCAAGCGGCAAAAAAGCCTTAGGCCCCGACATCCCATAGAAAGATCACAAATGAGACAATTCATAACGTCCCATTCATTCATATCAATTCTTTCTGTGTCAAT